CGGAGAGAGAGAGAGAGAGAGAGAGAGAGACGCGGGGAGGAGCGGAGGAACGTTTATCGGCGTATCGGCGCAGACGAAGAAGCGCGAGGAACAGAAGGCGGCTTTGTGCCGCGCTAGGAACAATGCTCCCCGCCCCCGAATGCTTCCACTCTCGGCCGAACTGGAGCGCGATCGCTTTCTCCGCTCTATCTCCTCTCTCGTGTATTCTGGTCTGGTTTTCCGTTGTTGTTACAACTTTCGACTCGGCCCAACCTTTACACCTGTGACAGCACTCGTCCTCCCGTGGCTCCAGCAACGTGTAACAACCTTCGATGCTTGGGCATTGCTGTTTCCTGCACTCGACGAAACCGTTCTGCGAAATATACAGAAATATATACACGCGTAATAAAAGGCGAACGAACGATCCTCACCCGATCCGTTAATTATTTCTCTCGCCGCTGTTATCGCGATATACTATAATTAAAAACCTTTTCGAGGATTTATCATCTTACGTACGAATTGTTACGTAAAAGGTAAAGCGCGGATGATCCGAGAAAATAAGGGAGATTATCGAGATCGAGATCGAGGCGAATAGTGAAATCGAAAGCGGCATAGATCGATGGATAGATTTTTTTTTCCTTTTTTTTTTTTTTTTTTTTTTTTTTTACCTTTGCACAAACAGTTGAAACACCTGGTGTTCGGGATCTTGTCCACGGTGAAGTCTTCTCCCTCGACGTCGCACGTTTCTCGGCTTCCTGGAAGGACAGAGGTAGCGATCACGATGCGAACGATGATGATTCGGTACGATTGGTCGCGCGGTCGACCGATATCGGAACCCGGCGCCGATTCTTCGGTTACACGCACGCCGATATCGATTATCCAAGGTCATAGGTGTATTATCTTCTACCTCAGGGAGAGGTCGGGCACGATTCTCGCGCTTCCTTCCTTCCCTTCCTTTTTTTCCCTCTTTTTTTTCTCCGTCAAGTGCGCAGGAATGCGTGCGAGAAAGAACGCAGCGGCGTTGCCGTTCGCGTTTCCTTCGCCTTCTCTTTCTCTCCCCCTCTTCTCTCCGTCCTCTTCCTCCCCCCCCCCATCCCTCCCGAGTTGTTTCGTTCTCGGCCGCGCATCGAGTTCCGTTTCGCGAGAAACGCGGGGAAACGCGTCGCGAAAAACCAGCAAGTTCTCGTTCCCGAATCGAACGAAAGAGAGGAGAAGAGAGAGAGAGAGAGAGAGAAGAGAGAGGGGACGGATCGGATCGAAAGTCAAGGCAAACGCGCGGGCGTGCATACGTTGTTTACGCAACCAGTGGTCTGTCGAGGGAATCGAGGGAAATTGTGGGTGATCGTGAGGTAGCGAGGACGATCGTTGTCAAACTACTACTACTATTACTATTACTACTACTACTACTACTACTACTATTACTACGGTGGAAAACGCGAATAGACAATGGAGACGGACCTAAGAATAGAGCGTTGACGTTCGCCGTTCGTTCCAATGACTTTCGATCGCGATTGCGAATCTCGTATCCGAGATGACGATCACCTACATTCGAACTCACCTATTATACTTTCCGAGGCGTGGCAACGACGGATCGACGAGATTAAAGCCAGGGCCAGAACTAGGATCAACGGTTTCGAGGATAATCGCCTCATCCTTATCCTCGCCATCGATAACATCGGCTTAGTTTGCGTCTTCGCCCTCGTCGCCGATCACGATGGTTTACTAGAAAAGAGAAAGCAGAGGCTTCCGTCAGAGATCTCGCTCCCCTTCGAGGGTAACATTCCACGTCCCCGAAATCGATCGCAACGAGAAAACAACGGAAAACGAATTTGGATCAAGGCTGCGAGTAGCGGCGCGCCACCAGTAGCCAGAGATCGCACGCCGCGATCAACAAGGAAAGGAACAAGAAGAAAAAGAAGAACACGCCGGTTCGCCCATCAGCGATTGTTGTCGTAACCTTCCGCCCGTTCGTATATTTACGCTAGATCTCCGTATATTTTCACGAGTCACGGACAACGCAACAACCTACGGAATCTTTCTTCGTAACATCCGTAACGGTCGATTCGTAATCGTTCCGAGAACCGCGCGCGTGCGGTTATCCGATACGAGCCAGCTTCGTCTCGATTCCTCTTGTCCGAGAGGTTCGATTCGCGCCTCGATTCCTCTTTTCCTCCAGATATCCAGATTCGCATTCCATCACTTTATCTCGTATCGAGAGCTCGGAAACTCGAGCGAAATTTTCCGATCGGACGAACGAACGAACGAACGAACGAACGAACGAACGAACGAACGAATGAACGCGTGTCGTTTTCTCCTCTTCTTTTCTCAGACTCGTCGACTCGTCTCTCGCTCAATCCCCTCCACTCTTTCTTCATCGATATTCGTATTATCTCTTTTCCCCGCATCCCATCTTCAGCTTCGCGATCGACTAATGGACGAAGCGAGTTCCGTTATCTCCTCTCCATTCGTTTCGAACAACCAGGTATTCCCGCGTTTCGAACTTGTCGTCGCTTATGT